CAGTCCCAAGAACACCTGGCACTTTACCAGCCCATCCACTGGAAAACATCCCAAAGGGATAAGAGTCCATCCTGATCCAGGGCATGGTGGGGTGATGCTACAGACATGTAGAGGTTCTGAGAGGATGGAAACTGCACGCCCCTCAAGAGTGAGGCAGTCCTGGGGCCAGAGCAGGGGGGTCAGAGGCTCTTCTCAGGGCTCTCCTGGAAACAGCCCAGGCAGCTCTGGGGCTCGGAGGAAGCAGCTCTTGTTTCTTCTCTAATTTTAGACCTTTTCAGGGTGTTCAGTTTTCTAACCACTGGTCAGCTGCTGTCTTCTCACACAAAGTAAGCATGCATAAATTAAACCAGACACATGTATATGCATTGGAAACAATCCAGGAGCAATCACTTACATGCCAGTGAAGGGCGTGAAACCCCCCATATGCTCCTGGTTGTAAGACAGCACAGCGAGTCCCGTCCGAGCCACCACCAGAACTCTCCCCAGGACTCATCCCTCTACAGTGCTGGGGGACACTGCACCCCTCGCAGTACCAGAGCGTGGCTGAAAGCAAACTGGCAGAGGCATCTTGGCTTAAACTGGGCAGATGAGTTTTTCTGTATTCCCTGGCTGGGTTTCCAGGAAGAACACCCCTGCAATCTCAAGCAAAGTGGAGGGGACGTGTGCAAGCAGCGAGGAGCTGTTGTCTGCACACAGCCGTGCATACATTGGTTGTGGGTTAGCCTGGGAAAGGTCAGCCTGCTCAGGGGCACTGGGTGATGAGTGGAGAAAGCCCTCCTACCCCTGTGGGGGAGGCTCCCAGCAAAGGGAAGCTGCTGCTGCTTTAGCTTTTTGCTCCATGTTTCTGCATCTCTTGCAAATGGGGTAAATTGTTGCCTGACCTTGGGATTTTCAACATCAGGCACTCTGACACTGAGCAATGTATGGGCCAAATCCTGCCCCAAAGAGTGTAGGTGAGGTGATACATAAGTTCAGTGGGGCATGGTTACTGCCCACAGACCAACATGCCCATGAGCTGGTGAATGTGGACAAGGCTGCCCCATCTCTGGGGCTGGCTATTGGGGATTTTGAGTCCTAAATCCAGCTCTGTGACAGCCTCAAGTCCTGATGGATCAGATTCAGCCACAGGGTAAAGTGACCCATGTGCAGCCAAGGTGGAGCAAGGCATGTTCCCTCCTGGCAGGCCTAATCCTGGCTCCTGCCAAAATAGGGATGAAAGCATCATCTTACCCCACTTGGAAGAGCTGCAGGAGGTTGTGGCTGCTGCGACAGCCCTTGGAAGGGGCCAGATCAGTACCAACATCCCTGCTGCTGGAATCAGGCCCATCCAGTGCATTATTACTGCCTGGAAACCACTGCTCCAGGCATCTTGCCTGGATGTACAGGTGCCCTGACAATTCCCAGTAGATTGGGCTGTGCTACACCTGGTCTGACCCTGTGCACTCACTGCCTCTGCCCTGGGGACTGAGAACCCCCCCCCCCGATCCTGATGCTCATAATCACACCCTCATCTTCTGCCAGTACTGGGTGGGGAGGGGGAATGTGTGAAAAATCAATAGCTCTAGCTCAGGCTGCCGGAGGATTTGTGCATTTTGCTCTGCTGTCTCTGGGAAATCTAATATATTGATTGTGTTTCTCAAGACTGGTATTGATGAAGCAGATAATGGGAGGGTTCGAGGCTGGCCAGCAGATGCCGAGGGTGTCCAAAGCCCAGGGCTGCTGCTTTATTGATCCTGACTGGCAGGGCAGTGTGTCTTATTGTAATTTACTAAATCCCCTCCTCATTCACATCAAGCTTGCCCCTGACCTGCTTTTGCTTCTGTATTTATTTATTCCCTGCCTTCCTTTCCAACTGGTGGCAGTGAAGCCCCTGGTCCTCCCTTGGGAGCAGGAATCACTGCCTGGGCAGGGCAGTGGAAGATGCAGAGAGCAGCCATTTCCCCACACGATGCTCTTGCTGCCTCTGCAGAGCAGCTCTGGCTGGTGGCAGAGAGCAGCTTTGCTGTGCCAAGGTCCCGGGCTTGCCTGAGCTCAGGCATTATTTCTGGTTTCAAGGGGTAGGAGATGCATTAATCTTCTCGGCTTTCTCTGATGTTGACCCACCTAGTGGTCCAGGCTTAGCACATCCTGCTTTGCTCGTAGAGGGTTGTTCTGCTAAAGCATTCCTTTCCATGACAAACTGAGCCTCTACCTATCCAAGCACCTTAAAAGTCAGCTGCCTGAAGAGGAGGTGGGAAGAAGGGTGTGGGAATGGCTGTCTGTGGGTGTCCTGCATTGTCTCCTGCTATGGAAAACCCTCCTCTTTGTGATTTTATGAATGCCATTAAAGAAAATTTTCCCTCTGCAAGACTCTTTTTCTAAAGTCTCTTTTGAAGACTCCCTCTCCCCAGCAATGCAGGATCTTTAAAGTATAATTATATTAAAAAAACCCAAACCACCATGCTATTTATAAATTATTCTATACACTCTCAACAAAGCAAGCGCCAGACTTCACTGGCAGATAGCCCACTCCTGACTTCTCCTTGCGCGGTTTAAAAATGCAAATAACACAGCTTCTTTTATTTATTCCTAGCTACAACAGCATGGGGGAAAATCACAATGCAAACTCTTTCCTGGAAAAGAGCGAGAGAGAAGAACGTGGCAGCCTGGTGCAAGTGAGGTATGGGGACCAGGATACAGACCTGCAGTGAAGGGACTGGGACCAGACCTGAGACCAGAAGCAACTGGGGTTGGCATTCCTCTTCTGCTAGGATCTGTTGAGTGCATTCCCCCTGCCTGCCCTCCAGCCCGGCCATGGGCAGATTGCAGCAGAGGCAGTGGTGGCCTTTCATTTAAGGCTTCTCCTGCCCTCTTGTCCTTTCTCCCCCAGCCCCTGGCTGTGCAGAGCTTGGAGTTTTGAAATGTTTCAAGGGATAAGAAAGCCCCAGGTCCCAGCAGAACAGTGAAACACTGTCATGATGCTAAGCATGGTCTGAAAGCACGTCTGATAACGGGAGGCAGGGTTTTGTCAGTATTTAAACGGAGCTGTTGCTAGAGAACATGGGAATGGTGAGTAAGAAGGAGTCCAGCTTCTGCTCTGCCTCCCCTGCTATCATCTTTGTTTAATACCAGTAAATAGCATTTATTGGTCTTAAATAAATAAGAGGCCTTATTGGTGGGTAAAAACTCTCTGAGAGACAAAGGGAAGAGGGGATCACTAGTTATTTTCAGTCCCTGATTTTGCAAGCTGTCATATCAGATGATACTCTCTTATCATGGTACATATTTCATGCAATGTATCCACCAAATAATAAAGACAATATTTATTCCTTAATCTGCTCTTCTTCCACATGTTGCACGTTATCTCTGGAAGCCCGACAGCATTCAAAGCGTTGAAGCTGCAAAGACCCTCCTCTTGGCTGCTCCTGCTGAAGTCAGTGCCACTGATTGTGGCGGGAGCAGGCTCAGATCCTGAGTGATTTTATCTGGTACAAGCCTATGAAGGTAATGCATTAAAAAGCCAGTGACCTGCTAAATATAAGCCAAGCTGTGGCACAGTGGTTGGCTCACACTGAGGTCAGCATTGGGCAGGTTGCTGAGTGTGAAGTTTCAGGTGAAGGGCACTAAAGCTCTATTCATTAAACGGTTTTCTGCAAACATAATTAAGAGATGGTATCAGTGAGCATCACTGCTGCATGAGCTGCTGTAGTGCCTGGGTAAATCTGAGCCTGGGTAAGAGCCCTCGCAAATCAGAAGACCCTAGGCCTGTGACAGGATCCCAATAAATCACCACAGCAAACGAGCTGTGCTCCTGCAGATGTCAGTAGGAGTGATGCTCCAGCGGTTGCCTGCAGTGGTGGGGAGGAATATTGCTGTTCTGAGGGGCTGGCAACTGTGACAAGATTTGTCCTTGTGTTGATACAAGCAAAAGCTAAAAACTATCATGTGAAGTTATGCTGGAGGTTGGGAGGTTTGAAGGGAAAACCAGAATTAATCCCAACTGTAGCAAATTCCCAAAGTCTGGGAATTAGGGAAGGTCAAGATTAGGGCCACTGGTGTTTCTGGAGATAACCAAGGGCTGCAGCCCCAGTCTGAGCATCTCCAATTTGGTCTCCCACACTATAACACAGTGAATACTGAACCCTCCAGCCCCTGGGGTGTCTGTATTTCAGGGCTGCTGTGCCCCCACTTGAGTGGGCTTGCTCTTACAGCTGCCCTGGGTTTCCTCACTCTCCCTTGTTCAGCCCCGCTGTGCATGGCACCCTGTCAGTGAGCATGACAGTGGTGAAAGGGCAAGGGCTGTTGTAATCAGGCAACTTTTGGAGAATCTTTTTCCTTTCTCTTCCCCTCTTCCTTTTCCTTTGCACTGTCTTCTCTTTCTTCTCCTTTTCCCCAGCTTCCTGTGGCCTGTCAGCCCAATTTCCCTCCTCCCTTAATTCTTATTTACCTTTCTTGCATTTTCTCCTGTTCTTCCCCTCCATCTCCATCCTTGCTCTCTCCTTGGCTGATACCTCCCCATCCCCTCACCTCCTGCCCCCACGCACACCGTGCTACACTTCTTCCCATCCTCATCTCCATCCCCATCCCGGCCAACCCCAAAGAGTTCAGGATTCAAGCTGAGGCTGTCCCAGAGCTGCCATCACTTACGGAGGCGCTGGCCTGGAGGTCTAGAGGGACGGAGGTGCCACGTTTGTGACCGAACCGACCCCAGAAACGAGCAGAAACCGCAAACCGACGCGGGGCGCCCTCCGCTGGGGGAGCCTTGGCGCCACCGCACCACCACCCCCCCCGCCCCCGGCGGGCAGGGGCGGGGCTAATGTTCGGCCCCGCCCCCCCTCCTTCCCCCCTCTGGGCCCGCCCTCCCCGCGCGGCGGTGGGTGGTGGCGGCGGTTGCCGTGGCGATGGCGCCTTGCCGGCGGCCGGTTGGCTGCTGGGCCGGCTGACGGCTGGGAGGCGGTGGCGGTGCGGCGGGACGGGGAAGATGGCGGCGGCGGCGGAGGAGGTGGAGGCGGCGGGGCGGCGCTGAGGAGGCCCGAGGCGGGCTGAGGAGTGGCGGGGCGGGCGGGCGGGGGCCCATGTGCTGCGGCGGCCCCCCCCCGCCCCCCACTACCGGCGGCGGCGGCGGCCCCTTAGCATCCAGGCGCCGCTGAGGCGGCTCCGCGGGCAAAGAGCGAGCGCGGCCCCGGCCCCGGCCCGGCGGCGGCAGGATGAAGTTCGCCGAGCACCTCGCAGCGCACATCACCCCTGAGTGGAGGAAGCAGTACATCCAGTATGAGGTAGGGCCGCGCCGCCGCTTCTGCCCGCTCCCCTGTACCGCTCGGCGGGGTTTGGATGTCCCCCGTGCCTCCTCGGGGCAGAGCGGTCAGTTCCCGGGAAGTGCCGCCCGAGCGGCATGAGTGTCCTCCAGCACATAGCGGCCGCCAGCCGTGCCGGGGGTGAGAGGCAGCTCCCCTCCTCGGCGGCGGTGCCGGGCGGCCAGCAGCTTCCCGCCTGTATGCTCGGCTGGAGGACGGTGCAGAGAGACCGTGTTTATCCGCCCCGGGGAGAGGTTCCGGCTCTTGCCGCCCCCCAGAGCTCGGGACCGCGCGAAGGAGAAGCGCTGGGTGGCCGGTTAATGAATGAATTGGTGCCGGTAACCCTTCGGTGTGGGGCGAAGGTCAGGAGGGACGTGGAGCCGGAGAGACCGCGATCGGGGGCTGCCCAGCGCACGGGTCCCGGGCGTCTCCGGCGGGCCCGGCCGCAGCCCTCGGCGCAGCCCCGCTGCTGGCAGCGCCGTTTTTCAGCACCACCGCCAGTTCTCCGCGCCGGCAAGCAGAGGAAGAGTGACTTTGAGAGGCGGCTCAGCCTCTGACTGCGGCTCCAAGGGCAAGACCCAGGGGCGAGCTGGCGGGGTAGCACCCACCGCCTCTTAGCCGGAGGCCAAGCCTTCCTTTCCTGCAGGCGTTGCCCTGCGAAGGGCCACAGGCTTGTGTGGTAATGCTAACAGCTTACCTGAGTGACTCAAAACACGGCAGTAAAGCTGGCATCGACTGCCTTTTTGTTTTTTAAATACGGCTATGAGGCTTTGTACCTCGCTATTTCGTACTTGCTTTCAGGTGAACCGCGCGAATCGGGACATTTATGAACGCTGTTTACACAAAGTTCTGCTGCATTAAGCATGAATTATTTGCATAATTCAGCTTTTCAGATTTGATTATTCCAACTATTTAAAGGTCACAATGTTTCAGATTTATCATAATGGTGCTCGACTTCAGTTTAACTAGATGAAGCTGAAGGTGGTTATTTGCAGCAAAGCCATTTCCTATTTCATCGTTAGCAGTAAAAGTATTTGGTGCTAGTGATGTCAGTCTTTTCCACAAGTAAAAATTAAACCTAGACAACAGAAAGCTGATTATAGCAGACCCATGATCAGCAAAACTTCTTGACTAATTGAGTCAGTCAAAACCATGCAACGTTTGTTATCATTTGAAGGCCTGTATTTTCTCTCTAGAAGTATAATAGCAATTTATTTCTGATATCCCTATTAATCTGTCTGCATTTGCAAGGAAACTCACATATAACTTACCTTGCTTTGTTGTAATGCTGAACTTGAAAAGTTTATATCTGCTCTTTTGACTGTTCCTTTGTTTTCCTTTACCTGACTGCAAATGAATGGATGTTTAAATTAAAACTGCAGCTGGATTTGACTTTAGAACAAAATTGCAATTTCTTTGAATTAGGTGCAGAACTAGATGACCAAATAATGCATCAGTCTTTTAGAGGAGGAAAACCATTGTCTTGATAAAGTACCAGCTTAGCTCTGCATCACGTCTCTGATGCATTATCCGTGCAATAGTTGTTTTCTGTTCCTGGAAATGGAAAACTTGCCTGTCTATCTAAGAGAAGGTTTGGTGGTGGGTTGGAGGTGAAGGAAAGGAGGAAATAGCCAGGCAAAAGATTTGGCTGCATGCTGACCAGGCAGGTGCAGAGGGAGGGTAAAGGAAACCCCAGTGAATTATAGTGCCTTGATTAATGTGTGAAGAACTCTGCTGCTTATCAGTTACTGTTTTCATTTTAGGAGGTTAATTATCAGATGTTTTAACTAGGGCAGTATCATGATGTCATTCTCCTTTCCCCCATCCCAATACAAAATAAAGGTAGATTTCAGTAAAAACTTCCTTCAAGTTGTTACTCTTTCTAGACTTCAAGTAATCTCCTTGGATAGATAGCTTAATGTAGAGTGAATGAAAATTTAAAACCCACCCACATTTTTAGTAATAAGTTTCAAAACTCTTTGTTTCCCTTGCTACAGCTGGCTGAATGTGAGTCAATCTTCTGCTCATGCATATTACAGTGCTGGAATTGCCTGGCATTTATTATTCAATAGCTGGTGGTCGTGAGGGTGTGGTGTATAGAAGGCTGGCGCTACCCTGGTTTACTTGTTGATTATACTTGAGGCAAAAAGCATACAGCCTTCCTTTGCCAAGAAAAAATTGGTGGTGTTGATTAGCAAATGTAAAGGCAATAGCTATTTGTGTGCAGTATTGCTTATAGCATGCATCATAGTAAAATTAAAAAAAAAGTATATTTAATAGCATTACAGTGTTTTTTTCATCTGACAGTTTATATCTTTTCCTTCTTAATTAAAACGGTAACCAAGCACTGTTTCAGAGGGGGATCTTGCTGTGTAGGATTTTAACTCTGAAAAGATTATTCCTGTTTCCAGGCACTTCCTGTGTCAAGTTCAAGATGCTGATAAAAAGACTACAGGATGGCAGAGGTGGCTTTCTTTAAGTCATTCTGCATCATAAAGCTTATATGTAGTCTTCTTATTTTGGTGTTATTTTGACTGGAGAGCAAGTAACTCAGGCAGTCAGACAGCCCCAAACTGTAGTAAGACCCAGGTAACCTCTAAGATCCTCACCAAATTGTCTTTGTTTTGATAGGATGGACTGTGGCTGCAAGGAGCTTTGCCTCCCATAAAGTGCCAGTTAGACCAGGAGTGGGATATTATGTGTTGCTGATAATGTGTTTTGAATACATAAAAACATACTTTCATTTTCAGATGGTCTTTAACAATTTACAGTCCTCAGAGTTCTTACCATTAACATAATCTTTCCCTCCAACAATAATCTGTTTAAGTATTATGATTGTGCTAGTAGGAGGTATGGAAGTTGCCTGAGCTCAGGGCAGATACTTGGTCAGCGGAAGTGCTTTAGAGAGAGAGAAATCTACTAATTTTCCTTAAACTGGGAAAAAGGAGGTGTATTTTGATAGCTGTGGCTTAGATTCTTTTCCTTCAGCCGAAGCTCAGCAGTACCGTTACGGTATGCCTGCTTTCTGAGAAAGAGCACTGGGCTTGTAGAAGAGAGGAAAAATGGTGACATACGCTGTTCTGTTTCATTCAGCTTTTCACAAAGGCATTTGCCATGGCTGAGTCAATGTTAAGATGGAGGTTTACACAAATTTTGATTGACTTGATTTGACTTTCCATTCCAAATTTCTGTTCTAAAGATTGTGTGAAAGCATGCAAATTCTATGTCACATTTACTACACAAACTCCATTCCTAACCAGTGTTTTTTGAAACCTAAGACAGTACAAGTGATCAGGAGGGTTTTATATAAGAACTAGTGGCAATAACGTAATACATGATCCCAATGTAAAGGAGCATTTCTACTGTTGAAGTACTGAGTGTCATTATCAGAGTACTCCTTGGATGTGAATTGAGTTTAAAACAATGTATTGACAAATGCTTAATTTGTGGAAATGCTTGTTAATTATGTTAAATGCTAAATATGCCAGTTTTAAACAACTTTTGTCCTAATTTCAATGGCTGTCATCAAAAAGCTTCCTATTTGTTAAAAGCAATGCTTCAAGTTTCTGTACTGGTTATCTTCTTTGTGCAAAAACCGCAGTGGTTTTAAGGGTGCGTGCCCGGCCTCTGAAGTGCTGGCTGCCACACACATGTACCTGGCCACTCTGCTCCCCCAGCTGCTGCATCTGCAGTGTGGAGCAAGCATGTTCTCCCCGTGCAGCTGAGCAGTGACACATGGATGTGCCCTGACCTTGGCAGTGGTGAGATTTGCTCACCTTTTCTTTAGGGGATCTGGCAGCGTATCTTCTTCTGTAAAGTCAGTGGCCTTTTCCTAGATAAGTTACTGCTGCAGCATGCATTGCTTCTATGCGCTTCTTGTCTTAAAACCTTCAGTTTTGGACTATTCATTTGCTCTTCAGTTCCTTTGGTGTAAAGATAACATACAAAACCAAACAAATTCCCATATTTGTGTGTCAGACAAGAGAATTCTCTTTTTCACATAGTCAGTACCAATCAAATTTAGATAATTCTCAGATGAATTTCAGCGGATGCTTTTTTGGCCAAGAGCATGCTTCACTGCATTTAATGTGCTTTTTTTTGGGTTACTAGTTCACTGTTTATCCACAAGCCATGCTGTAGATTTCCTTTGCTCTTGTGTCCATCTCTGGACTGCTTTTTGGAGAAAGAGGAGAGCATTGTTCCATCTGCTCAGACTTCTAAATGGAAGTGTACGCCTGCATGTCTGGCTGATGGAAACTTGGTGGAGTTTTACAGTTGCCAGATGGCAGTTTTGTTTCAGTTAATCTGGCCTGAATTTGCTTATCTGAATGCAGAAGTCTGATGGTATTTTCAAAGAAAAAGTGCTTTATGCCGTTGAAATTGCAGCATCTGGGAAAGAAGGAGAATCAGAACGTCAGTTATTACAGGTGCAAAGTCCATGGGAGAGATGGGTAAAAGGTATGAGCAGGTTACTTTTATTCCTTGTTACGGAGACTCCAGGCTTTAAGTACTTTTGCCTTTGGAGAAGAGAAACGGGTTACTAAGTTTCAGAAATTAATTTCTGAGACACAGCCTCCATCAGGAAGTAGGAGGGGTAAATGAAACTGATATCTGAGGTAGCCTGCTTGCCTTTAGAGCCTCTCTTCCAGAAACAGGCTTTCAGTTTCTGGGAGGTAGCCAGTTCTGCTCGTCAAACCCTGCTTCATGATAGGCAGTTCGCACCCAGGCTTGCCACCTCCTGACACAAATCTGTTGTGCTATTTCACTATTTGTCCTTCTGGGTGTTAGCGGACGAACTTAGAAGAGCATAAGCAGTTTGAAAGCTACTCATTTAAAACAACATTTTGTTAGAGTGCTTTAGGGTTTTTGTCCTTGAATTTGTTCACTCTTAAGGTCTGTCAGGTGCATTTTTAAGTCTGTTTTCTTTCAGCCTTTTTTTGTTTGTTGTTGGTATTGTTCTCTGATACACATTTATGCAAGTTTACTGTGGGTCCTAAGTGTATCGCAGCACAATTTAAAATAAGGGAGTAATCCTTTTTGTCTGGTTTTAGGGCAGAAAGAGTAAGAAACTTTTGAAGTTGTCAGTGATAGATAAGTTCTTGGTACAATAATTTCTAAAATTCTGTATCTAGAGGCATAAGTACTTTAGGTGTGAAGGAATACTGGACCTTTCACTTGCAGGTTATTGGTTTACTGTCATAGATCAGGTGAGCAGTAACAAAATCTGCTGTCCTGCAGCTGCCAGATTGTAATATATCAGTCTGCATGGGGAGAGGTCTGTGGGATGACTGACACCTTCAGCTTTCAAGACTGTTTAGTGCAGAACTCTCACTCTGCTGTGATCCTTTTATATTTATTTGTTTATAATGGCTGATAAAACCAGAGATAGGAATTACAGTGTGAGTTTACCTCTGTGTGGGTTATGGGATGTCATTCTTAGCTTTCAATTTGCTGTCTCTTCAGGTTTGTTTATCCTGTGTTTTGTGGTTGTGGTTCATGGAAAAAGTTACAGGTAGGCAAGGGTGACAAGTGGGATGACAAAGGTGGAAGGATTTTTGACCGCTTGGTACATGGAGGCAGATCATGTGCCGCTGACCAGTGAGTGAGTCACGGGAGGGGAAAAAGGACTGAAGTGAGTAGTGTTCGAGAGGCATTTTAGAAAAGATCCAAGGGTAGAGGAGAGCTCTGCCACTGTAAGGAGGATCATTTAGCAGAGACTCAGTTGAGAAAACAATTATGCAAGTGACCTTTGTTGGGACCTCTGTGGACTCAGGAGTCAGACCTTTGAGAGATGTCTGAGCTGCTGGTGTAGCCTTCCACCTAGGCTATCTTGTGATAAACAGACGTGTCCTTTAGACCTTATATTTACTTAACAGGATTGTAACCACCATGTTACAACAGAGCTGAGTTTTCAGCTGCTGAGTTTGTGGTTTTCTTTTTGCCTTGAGGGTATTAGGGTATTTGCTGTTTAGGCTCTGATGTTTTGACCTGGGGCATGATGACACAAAAGATGGTAAATGCAGAGATGTACCAGTATAGAAGTATAGGATATGTTGGGAAGCAGACAGGAGAGAAACAAACTAAAAAGACCTGAATGACTTCTGCTAGATTTCTGTGGGCTCAAAAGTGAGGGAATAAAATCTAGTTTTTGCAGCAGTTGTATGTGAAGCACGCTCATGTTCAGTATGTGCATTAAGATGCCCGTCTTTATCAGATGATGCAGGGTGAGTGTAAACAAATACTTTTGCAATAGGAGTGGGTCCTTCCTGGTGGCTTCTAATTCCAGAGTTATTTAAAGTTACTTGTTCAGCCATTGATCTGAAATCAGTTTAATTCTTGCTTGCACTTGTGATGTGTGAGAGAGCAAATCTTTAGTCTGTGACTGGAATAATAGCAGCATCTTAATAACTGTCTGAAAAGAGGCCTTTGGAAAAGGAGCTGTGATAAGGTTTTTGATGCGGTGACTCTCTCCTGGCTCTGGTAACAGAAGTGCTCAGTATTTAGCTGTAGGACCACTTTGCCTCCTAGTCCTGCTGCCTGCACTGCTCATCTCTTGCAGCCAGCAATCTGAGTGTGAGTGAGTGGCTTGTTCTGTGGTAGCTGGGAGGCAGCTCACCATGCCTCTAGGACCTGAAGATTTAGTTAATAACTCTGGCTGGTGTTGATGTTGTCATTTAGTTTCCACCTCAAGAGAAGGCCATCACCCCTGGTTCCCTAATCTCCTTCCTCATGTTGTCTTCAGCTTTTAGAATGTATCTGTATTTCTGTACTTCTATATAACAGTGATAAGAAATCCCTGAGGCTGTTTTTCCTCCATTTGCCTTGACAAACTCCTTTGTGTCACGCAGCAGTTTTTTGTTATTGTTGTTGGTGTGTGTGTGTTTAGTGTTTGGTTTTTTTTTAATGTGAAACCTTTAACATCCTATCAACCAGGAAACATTTTTCCAAAGGAAGATGTTGATACAGTTACAGTAATTTTTATAGGTTAGTAAGGTATCAGGCTTTAGCCAGTAAACATGAACTTGTGTTTCTTTCCTTAACAAAAGAACATGCTATAGCACTGGCATCACATACCATAGCTTTCTGTGTAAGTCTGGATGATAAAACAGCATTAATTGCATTTGTTCTCAAGCAGGCGTATCAAAAGAATGTTATTTTTTTGTTTATTATTTTAAATATTAACTGTATTCTTTGTTCTTTCCCTCTCCCTTGCAGGCTTTGAAAGAGATGCTGTATGCAGCTGTGGACCAGGCCCCTTCTATAGAAGGTAAGGAAATTGTAACAGAGAATCATGTTTTTCTTGGCATTGGGTGCTGGACACATAGTCCTGCTACTTTCCTGTCCTCAGTCCTCCTAAACTGGTAAACTTAATACAGTGATGGGCAAATGCCTGGCCTTTCACAGCCTGCATGCTATTTTTGTTTGTTAGAACTCTTTGTCCTCTGTCATTAGGACAATAAATGTCTTTGTATAGTTCGGGACTTCAACAGCTGGATTCCTCCTGCTTATAAGGGCATTCACTGGTGGAAGTACTTTCTTCATCATTTGAGAATAGAGCTTTGTTTTCCTGTGACAGCTAGCCACTTTAGGAGATAACTGTGCTAGAGAGATACTGGTTTCTGGTTTGTTACTGGTGATTTCAACTGTAAGAGTCTCATCCTTTTGTTCTGTGTCCTCCATGAATGCTGTGCTACCTCTCGTATGTACACATGAGTATATTTTCTTGTATGCATGTGTTTATTGCCACTGAGTTCTCCAGATTGTTTTACTACAGCATTTGGTTTTAAGCTCACTGAATTTTGAATAGTTTGTTTAATTAAGTGATGATCTGTGCAAAATTTCTCAATAGAGCCCTTTATCTTTCTTCTTTTCATTGTCTTTGAAGTACTGAAGAGTTTTTGCCTTTTTGTTGCTTCACTCCCTCCTTTCTTGCCCTCGTGTGGTTTTCAAGCTGTTTTTTTAACCTCCTTACCTTTATTATTTGTACTTTGATAGTAGTGCAATGTTAATATCAGTAACCTCTTTGGATGGAGCTCTGGGCTTCTTTCTTGAATATTTATAGAGCAGAAGAACAACTGCTGCCTCTAGCATAGTCAGTTGGCTAACATCAGTACTGATAGTCACTATTAACGTTAACTTATTAACTACTTTGTGTTGATTAGAATTGGGAGATGAGGTATGACACTTATAATAATGTGGGTTTTTTTTCTTAATTTAACTCTACATTGTCTTTGATTAGACATCTAAAACAAAAACTGCAGTAGTTAATCTATTAAGTTGTATGTGTGTGATGGGACAGTCTGTCCTTCTACTCTGTAGAAGTGCAATTTTAGCTGAAAACTTCATTGAAGCTATGCTCAGATGAGTGTAATCTTAGTTGCTCTCTTGATTCAGCCTGCTAATTTTGTTAAATCTATCAACCTTTTCTCTAAAGTGCAGGTCCTAGAACTAGATTTCTAAAGGTTATGGTCCAAGCATAATCTAAAATATGAGTTATCTTTGGAAAACTGAGGAAAACTTGCCAGGAATACACTGGCAAAAGAGGAGAACCTTGCTTTATTTTTTTTTGAGTTGCAAAATTGCTTAAAATCCACTCACAAACCTTTTTCCCCAACAGTACAAAACCAGTTTTCTCGCTAAGAGGAACTAAAGTGTTTTGTGTGGTCCAAACTGACTATTAACAAGACACAAAGACAACTTACTAATTTTGTTGAAAATCCAGCATTAGTTTTATGTTAGACTGGAGCACTTAAAGACCCTTTCTTTCTTCTATCCATCATTTTATTATTGACAACGGGAGCAAATGGTGTCTGTGCTAATAATTTTTTAGTCGAATGTCTGAATGTGACTTACTAGATTTTGCTTGTGGTACCTAGAATTTCAAGGCAGGATTTTTGTTGCTAGGTGTTGAACTCTGAAGTGTTGTAATTCAGCATTTTGATTTCTTTTTTTTCAGTGCTTGTGATATACTGATGTTCTGTAATGTACTGTGATGTCTGTGTGTAAACTTATTTGGCAAAGGAAGGAAAGGTGAAGAGTAAAATGGTACAATATTATAGTTATGCTCTTTTAAATGTGAAAAGAATTTTAACTTGTTCTTCTACCTCTTTTGATGGTTTTAATATCTCAACAAAAGGAAAGTAATGACTGTACATAAGTAGAAAAATGTTCTATTTATTTTTGGGGGCTTTGGTCTCTTCCTCTGTACAGTAGAAAATGAAGTAATCCAAATTGTTTTGAACCAATCATATTAAACTGTCTTCCCTGACCACCTCTAGGTAGAGAGCAGCTATACTGATCCCTTCCCCTTTTGTTCATTAAGAGAATATATGTGCATAGCAGTTGGATTATTTTTAAAGTTTGTTTTCAGTGTGCTGCTTCCCTCTCTTTCTCTCTACTGAGTCTGTTTTGCTTCTTAGTCTCTGGGTCCCCCTCTGAAAATGGTGTGTTGCTTAGGATGGGGCAGGCTATTTGTGCTGGAGTGGCAGAGCTGTCTGTATGGGCAGATCTGAGCCAGTGGATCCTTCTGTTGCCTATAGGAGTGCAGACGTGAGAGGGAGAATGGATGGCTTTCCATGAGCTGTAGCTTTAAGGAAGGCTTGTGCTGGAAATGGATCAAGACCACGCATTTCTCCATGCTTGTCGCTTACTTCCTTCTTCTTTAAACCCTTCTGTCCTTGTTCGTAGAAGCCTTAAGCCAGAGTTAGTGTACAACGGCATATAAACTGTGCCCAAAACACAGCTCTAGTCCCTATCAGAGGAGATGGAGCAAGTTCCTTGAACTTTGTGGGGGATGCATCAGCTATTGTAGGGGGCTGGCTGTTGGCCTGCATGTTTTAATACGGATTTTGCAATGGATACTTCTGCGTCAATTTAAGCTTAGCGCAGAAACTACAGGAGTGTGCTACTGAAAACCAGTTTATGAGCCTAATGTAATCTCACTTTAGATTGGTCTAACTAACCCTGCTTTCTAGTTGATCACAGACATGCTGTAGACATGCACAGTTGATTTTGATTTACCTTACATGTATTGTAAGGCAGTTACATTGGACTGTGAAGAAAAGGGAGCTTTGTATACCAAAGCCTAGTTCTTACTCTGCTTGGCTGGATGTTCAATTCAGGACTTGTGAATGAGTTTCTTAGATTTCTGTTGCAGGATGCTTATTATGTCAGTTGGTAAAAATTGTAGGCATACAGAAATGCTTTGTATTGCTTAGTAGTATGCTGGGAGCATTTTGGAAAGTCTTTAAAATAAAAAATGCTACCCAACCAAGGCATGCTGTATGTAGTAGGCAACGCAGTTAATAGGCAAACCATCCATCATAAATAGCTTTCACTGGCTTTGTAGTTAGGAATCTCCTGTTTGTGGTTGGGATGTGGATAAACAAAGCTAACTTCAGAATGTTAAACTCTGCAACTGATGGTGCTGGTGCTACTTTAGTGGATAAAGTGTTCCTGGGAAGAGATTTTGGCTCTAAATTGCACAATTTTTACTCTCCTCATTGTCTAGTTATATGGTGACTCTTGTGCTGCATTGAATTATACCCATGTCTATCTGATTTTTCCTATTTTCAGGTAATAAACGTAGACTGCAATGTTAAACAGAAACCCAGTAGAGATCAGTAAACAAAACCTGTCAAGGCTGTGTGATCAGAGGAGATTGTTTATAGCTGTCCCCTGACATTACTGCAAGGTGCTGTGACTCCCTGTGTTTCATGAGAATTACACCAGACCGTATGCATGTGTGTCTTTGCAGTTGCTAGCTGTACACATAGATTTCTTTAATCTGTTCAAAGATACAAAGTAGACAGCCAGGGGGTAAGGGGAAGAGAAATGTAATGAGTTTTCTGTATGCCAGTGTTATTCCTCCAGATGCTCATAATCTTTTTACAAGGCTTTCCCTGGTGAAACTTGCACCATCTTTCCACCTGAGTAACATCTGTACCAAATTAGTATTTAGTCTGTTAATTCAGTCTCATACGCATCATTGGAAAGTGTCAAATAATACTTGATTCCTAGAAGTATGATGGGACTTGAATTTCTGAAGAATTCTTTGATGTGTGTTTGCTTTGTTAGCTGTTTGTTACATGCTGCTATTTGTGACTAGAGCAATCTGGATGAGCTGATGCTGCCATGATATTATTCTGAGCTTCTGAGTCTTCATGGCATGGCAGAAAGGCCTGCATGCAAGCATGTCAGGTCAGTGTGGGCAGGCACTGTTCCTTGACTCTGAACTACCTTTAGAAAGAATTTATGACAATTTAAACCCAGCAAGTGCTTGTTTTCTCCAAGGTAGAATGTGAAGTATTGCAAAACCATAAAATACTGACCTCACCGTAAGCATGTAGATTTTTTTGCATTCGTTGTTGCTTCCTCTGCTTCCTGTCCCATTTGTCACCTAAGTAAAACAGGTTACTGGACCACTGTTGCTTGGAGTCCTCCCAATTATTCCACTTGGTGAGCAGATGTGTTGGTATCTCCCCAAGCTCCTTACGATGCAGCTCTTCTCAGCTGCAATGGAGATGAAAGTGTGGCTGTAAATTATTCATTCTGATAATCTGCTTGAATGGGCAGGGTCCACTCTAAATATTATTTCCTAGAATTATTTGTCTTTCATACACTGAAATTTAACCTCCCTTTAATACTTATGTAAACAAATGTTGTTTCAGTATCAGATGGTACAAGAGTATTCTGTTGTATCCTCTTATGATGGAGATTACCTATTCCGCTTAACCCCAATCCTGAATTCCAGTGGTGTCTTTTGAATGAAGATCACTGCCGGTTGAAGGCCTGTGTGGGGCTGGAATGGTGTGACAGTGTAGGAGTGGAAAGTACTGGTGCTTTAAGGTAGAACTCAAACCCCAAATTAATAGGTGATGTTTAAATAACATTTGATTGGTAGGGGGCAAGCTTTAGTGGTAATGGAGATCTGCTGCTGGTACTTGTGAACAGATGACCATATGGATTAATTGCGCTAGATTAGAAAAGCAAGAGGTGCAGTTTGGGACATAGTGAGAATGCCAGCACTGTTGTTGTGTGGTTTCACCCTTGTTTCTGCTTTCATTTGCAATGCACTTACCATGTTAACTGACAGCTACAAATCTTTAGTTTGGATTTATTTTTGTTTCTAAACAAATAAAATAGTATTATTTAGGGTGATAAGTAATCTTGGTGAGTAAGCAGGGTGTGGGAAATCATTCTTTTTTTCCAAAGGAAATTACGAGGCTGACAATATTTGTTTGTTATATGCAGACGTGCTTTATAGCA